GTTCAGCCTGGAGAAGAGAAGGCTGCGGGCAGAGCTGAGTGCGGCCGGTCAGGGCTTCAAGGGGGCCCAGAGGAAAGGGGGGGACAAGCTTTTTAGTAGGGCCAGCTGGGACAGGACAAGGGGGGATGGTTTTAAACTGAAGCAGGGGAGGTTTAGACTGGATCTAAGGAAGAAATTCTTTCCAGTGAGGGTGGTGAAACCCTGGCAGGGGTTGCCCAGAGAGGTGGTGGAGGCCCCATCCCTGGGACCATTCCAGGCCAGGTTGTCCGGGGCTGTGAGCAACCTGATGTGGTTCAAGGTGTCCCTGCTCCTGCAGGGGGGTTGGGCTGGGTGACCTCTGGGGGTCCCTTCCCACCCAAACCATTCTATGATTCTATGACAGCGAGGGTTTGCTGCTGTGGAAGGGGAGCGTGTGCGCACACCAACGCCCAAATCCTCACTGGCCACAGGCAGAGGGATCTGCTCCGCAAAGCCGGCCGGGTTGGGAGCAACCATTTTCCTTGGCAACGCTGGCTGCATAAAAGCAGAAGGGATGGGGGGTTCCCATCTGGGCTTATTCCAGGGAAAGCTGTGTCCTTGTCGCTTCCCGAGCAGGACCCTGCGGCTCGTCCTGCCGGGCACCTGCAGCGCCGGGGGGGTGCAGAGGTTCAGCATCGCCTGCCTGCGAGACCACGGCGGGGCTCGGGGGGGGGGGCCCCCAGCGTCGCTGACTTGCCTGCGGGGGGGTGCTTGCTGGGGCAAGGACCAGATCTCCTGGGCTCTTTTCCCCCTGGGGGTGGACTCCCTCTTCCCGTGCCCCCCAGGGCATGCCAGCGTGCAGCCCCCCAGCCTGGGCTGCCAGGTTGGAGCCTCCCAGCACTCAGCCGGAGCTCAGGGGCTCGGCGTGGTCCCCCGCTCTGGGGGGATGTGCGGGGACGACGGACTCCCCTTGCAGCGCTCAGACACGGGAAGATTTCCGTGGGCTGGGAAGGAAGGCAGGCATGGAAGGAAGCTTTCCAGGACCCCCCGCTGCTCTTCCCCATCCCTGCCCTCCACCAACTGCAATTTCCCTGCCTCTGGCTGCACCAGCCTCCTGCAAAGCGTCCGCGGGGTGTCCCCGCTCCCCGAGGCCAGGCTGGCTGTCCCTTCTCCCCAGCGAGGCGACGGAGCCCCCGCGTCCCGCAGCCAGCACCCCCCACCGCCGCCGGAGCGGGACGGGGCGTTTGGAGCCGAAGGGCTCCCGAGGCGTCTCCCGGCGCTCTGGCACCACCGTGCAAGGGGCACCGCTCCAGTTCAGGACCAGAGAGGTGTGGAAATGCGCAGGCACAGCCTCGTTTCATTAAGAGCAATTGAAGACCTGGCAGCTTTGGGCGCTCCGTCGAGCTCGCGGATCTCTGCCAGCGTGTACGTCCCGTAAGCCAGCCGCTCGGGCCGCTGGCAGCCGCGCTGGGAGGCGAGGGGTGCGGTAAGGGAGACAAAACACCAAGGGAAGCCCCGAGGGATCCCTGGTAGGGATCTTACTGTTGCCACCCCAGCTGCCTGCAGGTTCCCGGTGGGCACAGCAGCACAGCCCACCCTCACGAAGCGCGGAGGCGGACGGGGCTTGTCCTGCAAGTTCAGGCGTTTCCCTCTTCCAAGACCAAGGGAGGGTGAAGGATTCACCCAAACGCCAGCTCGAGAGGCGGCGGGAGCCAGGGCAGGCAGCGCTGCCGGCTCGGCGAGGGCGGGCAGGTTGCTGGCAGCGCGGGTTGGATTTCAGCTCAGAAAAAAAAAAACGAGAGGAAATTTTGGGATAGAGGGAGCAACTCCAGGGAAATGAGCTCCGGCTAGAGGACAGCGGGGCCGGGGTGTGACCGGCCCGCACGCCGGGCCCTGGCGGGGCTGAGGGGACAGGCTTTGGGCGGGAATGCCCCCGGACGCGGGGCCACCTC